AAGTTCGGGTAATAATACAGCCTGCCTTTCCCGCAGCTTTTCACACAGAGAGCGCCAGGAAACGCATTCGAAGTAAGAAGTCGGGAAGCCCAGTGGACAGCGCTCCAGGGGGTGGGGTGGGGGTGGGGTGATGGGGCACCCTGGAAAGCCAGCGCTGCTTAATAAGCCAAATCTGCCTGCCGCGGAGGGCTTAGGGGCATCTCTCGAAATCTGTGGCCCAAGCCCCAAAGGTTATGATGTCGCAATTCCGTATCACCTCAAAAGTTTGGGAGGAGGTGACCTCGTGACCGTGGCCTCCTCCAGGCCCTCTGGATTGAACGCTGCGCTGTTTCCACAACTCTGACCGAGGGCTGAGACCCAGCTTCCCGCTTCTGCCCTGGCGTCTTCCTCACCCTCACGTGGCTCCAAATCTAAGCAGAGCCCAGCACCACGCAGCTGCAAAAAGGCTCAGTTTGGCTCGGGAGAGGCTCTGGGAGCAGGAAAAGCGAGGAACCCCTGCCGGGAGCTTCCTGGGTCCTGCAGAGCAGGAAAAGGGTTTCGGCAGAGATACAAAATAACTCATCTGGACTCGAACAGTTACCTTCGAAAAGGCTATCTTCTGTCTTCAAGGCATGCCTTTCTCTTCTGAGGTTTCAGGGAGACACTGCTTCCTATTCAGGAAGATCAGGAATCACCTACCCGAAAGGAACCCTCAGGAAGCTGTAGAGCCACCTTCCCCTAGCGAAACCACACAGAACTCTGCATTCGTGGTCCGTGCTTTTCTAGAGCCCGGATACCCCTGACCCGAAAGGTGGAGGGAGATGGAGGAGGGGTCGGCCTGAATCTGCGACCTGCGTCGTCAGCACCGAGAGGGCTGACCTGAGACCCCGGCCCGGGTCCCCCACACGCGAGGCGGCGCTGCCACGTGGAGCGCCCCCTTGATTTTTAGTTTTAAATCAGCAAGGCAAGAACACCTTCGGCTAAAAGAGCCAAGGGGAAAGTGGGCAGAGAAGGGAACACTTGGGCTAGGACATTCACCGACGGACATTGAGGGAGTTTCAGGGAGCGCAGCTCCCTAGCACCGCTAAGGACAGATATTTTCGGAAATCTAAAGATTGAACGAAAAAAAATTAAAAAAGAGAGAGAGAGAGAGAGAGAGAGAGAGAGAGAGAGAGAGTACCTGTGGAACTGGGGCCTCCCACCCCCACGCTCCTTTTCCCCTCTGAGGCTCAGCCGCTCCGGACCAGCCAGCCCATCCGGTCTCTGGGTTTGGCTCTGGTCCTCACCCCCAGGGCGCCTCGCTGGGTTCCAGCCACCCGATGTCCCAGGACCTGGCCGGGTCACCCAGGGCCAGGTGGACGGTTCACACCCTCTCACCCAGCATGCCCCATCAGCTCCTATTTCTCTTCGAAAACAGAAAAGGAGAAGACCACTGAGATCTAGTCTGTGGTCTTAGTAGGAGGGCTGCAGTTACACCTATCAACTTCTCCAGGTAGGGCGTCCGTTTGGGAAGAAATTAAGTGTAGGAATCCACAGGCAAAGGTGATTAGGGAACGCGTGTCGGGGTGGGGAGGTGGTCTAGAGATGGGAAATACATACACTTGGGGCAAAACGTCCAAAGGTCACATTTATTCAGATGTTTACTGTGCACCTACAAATCAATCTGGTACTTTCCTTTTTCCTTCTCCGGGTGGTGTTCTGAGAGAGCTACGCCGGTCAAGACTGGGGCTTACCTGCCGCTCCCTTCCCTTCCCAGGGAAACCGGTATCTGGGTGGAGAAGCACAGCGAAAAGTACTGACCACCGAGGAGCGGCTAGGCGGGCGCCCAGGGCGCGGGGCCTCAGTGTCCCACCAGGGAGTGAGGTCCTGCAGGATTCGCTCCAGGGACCCGGGCCGGGCACCGGAGGAGAGCAGGGGTATCCCTGCGGGTGAGCCCTTCCGGAGACAGCGCTGGCCCGAGGCCGGACCCCTGGGGTTCCACAGGTCCTCCTCTCCCAGGATTTGCGTCCCCACTGAAAACCGATTTAGATGTTGTCTCCACTTCTGCTGAGAATTTTTAGGGAGGTTGGGGTCCTTAATCCCCCAGGTAAAGTGAGATTCCGCCTTCATCCCTCACCTCCACCCGGAGCTCGAACCCCCTCCGGCTGAGCTTTATGCGCAGCTCCGCGCCAACTCTGCGCTCTGGCTCCGCTCGCTCACGCGTGTTCGAGGCGGGGAGGTTGGAAGCCCCCGCTGGGCAAATTGAGCCTGGCGCCAGCCGGGGATGCTGCAAGAGGGAGGTAGGGAATAGGAGTGGGGGACCTCAGGCCTCGGCTTCCCAAGACCCTACGACCCCCGGGATCCACTCGCACCTCGGTGTCTCCGCCCCTGGCCGCAGACCTCGTGGCGCGGGCTACGGAGCCGCACCGAGAGCACATCGCAACTGCGAGATGCCTTCAGTCGCCCGCCGCGTGTCGGGACTTTCTCCCTTTCCTTCCCTTACCCCCATCGGCTTGAGAACCCCGGTGCATTTAGCTCCTGGCAGAATGCTCTAGCTAAAACTGGCTCAACAGCCTCAGTTTTCGGATCTGTAACCTGAACGTCGGGAGTAAGTTCTCGCTAAGGTCCCCCAGCGGCCACTGACAGCAAGCGAGCCCGTTGTCGGGCTAAGAAGGAGCGACCTGACGGGGACGACCCAGGAAAATGAAGTCCGAGGAAGCCAAGCTCCCGGACTGGAACGGGGAAAACTCGGGCACCGGAGACCTCTAAAAAAAAAAATGCAGGATCAACCATTTTCTAACTGAAGGCGCCCACGCGCCACACTTGGCCTGATCTTGGCAAGCCAGGCCGCTGCTTGCACCTGGGGACAAGAGGCTTTCTCAGGGCCTCAGTCGCCCAGCTCTGCGCAGCAGAAAAATGTTAGGCATCTCTGTGTCTGTCCCTGTAGACACACTTCCCAAGTTCCCCTAATGATGTTCCCAGGGGTGGCCCGGCACGGGAGAGAATATCTTGTAGGAATTCCTGCAGAGATAAACCTCAGCCCTTAAGCAGTCCGACCCAGTGGAACACACCATCAACGTTTTCCTGCAGTTTCTAGGCTTTTGGCGCCCCCTTTGGATACAGCTGAAAATTGCAGTCCCTTTTGAAGACAATTTTCCAAAAAAAGTACAGGAATACAAAGTGCTTGAATAAAAAAAAAAAAAAACGTATACAGCACCAGATGTTGTTATTTAAAGTGCTTCTATACATTATCTTCCTTATTACATAACTGTGTTAAAGGCATAGTCATTCGTACACTTATAAGCCAACTATTTAGTGAAATATTCCAAAATTTCTTAAAGCTACAGTCGCGTTCACTGTTTTTGTCACTAAACGTGATAATTATAATTTAGAAATTAAGTCTTGGGGAGTTCTTTAGAAGCTCTCCCAAGTAGTTTGTGAGTCTTCTCCCGGATCAGGTGTCTGAATCACACAAATTTGCACCGGAATGGAACCTCTCCAGGGCGCAGAAATGCTTCCATACTACGCGGAACTACTCATTATTCCCAAGTAACGAGCATATTGCTCTTAACTTTTCTGAGCGTAGTAGCCAAAGAGCCTAAAATACAAGACTATTGTTTGCGGGTCTCGTAAACTCTCAAATGAACTATAGGGTGCTAGAGACATCGGAGGCCAGTGAGCTGCATTCGTTTAAAAAGAAAATCCTGTTGACCAAGGATTCTGACTACTTTATCCAGTTTCTTTTCTTATGAGAAACGTCGACTTTGGAAGAAAACGGAAGAAAGTTTTTTAAGAAACACTTCAAATAAAACATTCGTTTAAACCTTATCAGAATGATCGCATTTAGTAAATCGGGGAAGAAAATCTGCCTTTGATAGGATATGGGCCAACTGACAACATCAGTAATTTAACTCAAGGCGAACTTTTGCAAGAGCCAGAAGAACGCAGGAAAAGGGAGAGGGGGTGGAAATGAAGGGTTTTCCTCCGTGGTGCGTTGATTTGTGACTCCAAGGTCTTGTAACCGGCCGGCGACTGAGAGGATTCTGCTGCAGAACAGATAACTCCGCACTTACCCAGCCCGGCTCTGAGTTTCCATAAAGTACAAAGGTTGGGCTCAAATCACACTTGAGATACATCAGAGGCACCTCCGCGGCCTCCCTTACAGGTCCACCTGCATGCGGTTCTGCAGGGACTGACTCAGGTCCCGGCGCTTCCCCGCTCCAGGGGCTCCGGGAACAGCGGGCGCTACGCGGCTCTGCCACAGCAGACCGTTTTGTCTTCAAAGGTGCCCGTCTGTTTGGAGTTTGACAAACCAAGTGACCCTTCCTCGGCCTCTGGGCGCGGGAGGGCCACACTCGCAAAGTTCTGTCCCAAGCTAACGCAGTTTGCAGGCTCTTTCCAGGGCCAACGCTGCTGACGTTTCTGGACTCGGCCAGGAGGCAAAGAGCAGAACGTGAAAGCAGCGGCAACCCTGTCCCCCAGGGGCGTCGGCGGGGTGGGGGACTGCGGGCCGGAGAAGGACTCGTAAAGTTCAAGGTTGAGGTGGCGCGCGGGCCGGCCCCGCACCGCACCGCTGCGCCTGCCTCCGCCGGGGCTCAGCTCTGCTTTTCATTGATTCCCTTCGCGACAGCGCAGCAGAATCCCGACCGGCCGCACCAGCCCCGGCGAACCAGAGCATGTTAATCTATTTATATGGATTATTACGGAGGAACAGCGGGCGTTGAGTCACCAAAACGTTTGCTTCCAAAGATCATTTCTAAGCACTTTTGGAAGCGAGCAGCAGGCTCCAGGCGCAGAAAGGGACTACACATTTAGGAGCGGCTGCTTTTCCAATATTGAAAACTCCAGCGAAGTCCCGGTGCCGCCAAGAGACCAGTGAAAAGAAGTGTCGAGGTGGGGGCAGATCTCAGTCTAGACACACGCCCGCGAGTGCACGCATGCACACACACACACACACACACACACACACACACACACACGTGCGCGCGCTAAGTTTCTTGCGAACACTGTACCAAAATTCTGACATTTGTACGGCAACTTACATATTTGGACGTCCCGGGTCCCCCGCCTTCCCGCAGCACTCCCCCCACCCTCTACCCCCTCCCACCATCCACCCTTGGGCTGCGGTTCCCTCCCCTCTCCTCCCCTCCGGTCTCTTCACCCAGCCCAGAGCCACAATCCTCCTCCCCACTCCAAATCGGGCCCAATGAGCTGCTTGTCAGCCAGGACTGCCGGGCTGTGATTGGCTGGACGTCTCTAAGGTGAGGGGAGTATTTATTGAGAAGACCCCGGGCTGGGAGTCCGCGAGCCGAGAGCGGAGCTCGGAACTGACTGGGAACCTCTGTGGCGCTGCGACTTGCCAGTATCACCCCGGGAACTCTGTGCAAGTAGAGAAAAGAAGGGTGCAAGTGCCCCACTCTTGCTCTTTCTTCCCTTCCTCCTCCTCCTCCTTCTCTCCAATTCGCCTTTCCCACTTGGAGCGGGCAGCTGCGGATCAGCCACCCCAGCGCCAGCCTCCAGCGACGCCAGGTGACGCGCCAGCCTCCCCAGGAGCCGCTCGCTCCGCGCCGCGCCGCGCCCGCGTCAGCGTCCGGGCAGCAGAGGGGAGAGGAGCCCGCGCCTCGAATCCCCGAGCCGCCGCGGCTTCTCGCCTTTCCCGGCCACCCGCCCCCTGCCCCGGGCCGCGTATGAATCTCCTAGACCCCTTCATGAAGATGACCGACGAGCAGGAGAAGGGCCTGTCCGGCGCCCCCAGCCCCACCATGTCCGAGGACTCGGCTGGCTCGCCCTGCCCATCGGGCTCCGGCTCAGACACGGAGAACACACGACCCCAGGAGAACACGTTCCCCAAGGGCGAGCCGGACCTGAAGAAGGAGAGTGAGGAGGACAAGTTCCCCGTGTGCATCCGCGAGGCGGTCAGCCAGGTGCTCAAGGGCTACGACTGGACGCTGGTGCCCATGCCCGTGCGCGTCAACGGCTCCAGCAAGAACAAGCCGCACGTCAAGCGGCCCATGAACGCCTTCATGGTGTGGGCGCAGGCGGCGCGCAGGAAGCTGGCGGACCAGTACCCGCACCTGCACAACGCCGAGCTCAGCAAGACGCTGGGCAAGCTCTGGAGGTGAGGCCCGGAGGGGCGCCGAGCAGTGTGGGCTGCGGGCAGCCAGGGCGCTGGCCCGACCGCCGGTCCCGCCCCGCCTCCCGAGGCAGGAGGTGCGGCTCCGGGAGCCAGAGGCGGGGGCGGGGGCGGGGGCCAGGGGGTCGAGGTGTAATTTTGGCTCTGACTTTGGCTTGAGAGTGCTGCCTAGGAGTGGGAGGGGGCGGCCGGGTTTGGACAGACTTGTAGGAGACGGGAGGGGTGGACGCCAGACCTGTGTAACCTTTAAGTTTATGGGGAGGGAGGTCCCCTTCCATCTTCCGTCGTACGGTGCTACCATGGGGTTCTACATCCAAGGGGGGGGGGTGGAGGAGACCCCAGACAGTAAAGGAGGGAGGCGCCGGGCATAGGTGGGGGGTAGGGGGCATTTCTTCCAGTTTAAGGGGTTTTTCGGAAAGATTTGAAAGGCGGGGGTAACTCAGCAAAGGCGTTTTCGGGTGGCAGCGGCGGGGAGCTATTTTCATCTTCAAGGTTTCCAAAATAGAAGGGGAGGGGACGGGCGGGGAGTGGCGGCTCAGGTCGGAATTCTTGAACTGAGAGTTTTCTTTTGGTTTACTTTTGACTTTTTCTTTCTTTTATTTATTTTTTCCAAGAAAAGTTAGGCGCAGCCGCAGAGGCTGCGGGGTGGGGGGCGTCGTGCGCGGAGGAGAGCGAGCGACCGGCCGCCCGCTGACCCCGCCCTCTTTTCCTCTGCGCCCCCCTCCCACCCCCAGGCTTCTCAACGAGAGCGAGAAGCGGCCTTTCGTGGAGGAAGCCGAGCGGCTGCGCGTGCAGCACAAGAAAGACCACCCGGATTACAAGTACCAGCCGCGACGGAGGAAGTCGGTGAAGAACGGGCAGGCCGAGGCGGAGGAAGCCACGGAGCAGACGCACATCTCCCCCAACGCCATCTTCAAGGCGCTGCAGGCCGACTCCCCGCACTCCTCGTCTGGCATGAGCGAGGTGCACTCCCCCGGCGAGCACTCCGGTGAGTCCCAGCACTGGCCCCGCACCGGGCCAGCCCCAAACCCCCGCTAGGAGCGGTTGGCCCAGGACTTTGCGCTCTTTGGGGACGGCAAGTCCTTCTTCGGAGCCTAATCCTGCTTAGCTCCAGCCCAGGGCCCCAGTATACACCCAATCACACACACACACACACACACACACACACACACACACACACACCCCAGCTGAATCCCAGCACCCTAAGAGTTTTTTTTAATCGCCAGGTAAAAATAATGCCATCACCGCTTTTGTAAAATTTACCCTCCTTGTCTCTATGCTCCTCTGCCCCAAAAGTACACAGAGCCATAGAGCGCTCTTCTGCAAGTAGTAACTTGGTCTTCCGGACTCTGGGGCCCTCAGACCCTCCCCAGGTAGAAGGAGGCTACCCACTGTGTACCCGCGAGTTAATCATTCCGCGATTTACCTCTGGTGTAGCCAGCCTCCTTCGAGGTGCGAGTCCTTATTACACCTGAACAAGGGAGGGCCCAAGAGGGTTCCTAAGATTAGGGCGTTGTTGATTATCCCAGTGCTTCCTTTTTATTATCCGCAGGACAATCCCAGGGCCCACCGACCCCACCCACTACTCCCAAAACCGACGTACAGCCAGGCAAAGCTGACCTGAAGCGAGAGGGGCGCCCCCTGCCCGAGGGGGGCAGACAGCCCCCCATCGACTTCCGCGATGTGGACATCGGCGAGCTGAGCAGCGATGTCATCTCAAACATCGAGACCTTCGATGTGAATGAATTTGATCAGTATCTGCCTCCCAACGGCCACCCGGCGGTGCCGGCCACGCACGGCCAGGTCGCCTACACGGGCAGCTACGGCATCAGCAGTACCGCAGCGACACCAGCAGGCGCGGGCCACGTGTGGATGTCCAAGCAGCAGGCGGCGCCGGCCCCGCAGCAGCCCCCGCAGGCCCCGGCGGCCCCGCAGGCCCCCTCCCAGCAGCAGCAGGCGCCCCCGCAGCCGCAGGCCGCGCCCCCGCAACCCCAGCAGGCGCACACGCTGACCACGCTGAGCAGCGAGCCCGGGCAGTCCCAGCGAACGCACATCAAGACGGAGCAGCTGAGCCCCAGCCACTACAGTGAGCAGCAGCAGCACTCGCCGCAGCAGCAGATCGCCTACAGCCCCTTCAACCTCCCGCACTACAGCCCCTCCTACCCGCCCATCACACGCTCGCAGTACGACTACACCGACCACCAGGGCACCGGCTCCTTCTACAGCCACGCCGCCGGCCAGGGCTCGGGGCTCTACTCCACCTTCACCTACATGAACCCTGCGCAGCGCCCCATGTACACCCCCATCGCCGACACCTCCGGGGTCCCTTCCATCCCGCAGACCCACAGCCCGCAGCAGTGGGAGCAGCCCGTCTACACACAGCTCACCAGACCTTGAGGAGCCACTGAACACAGGGCAGTGATGGCCTGGGAAGGTCCTAAAAAGAACCGAAGAGAGAAAGAACCAGAATTTCCTTTGGACGTTTTTTGTTTGTTTGTTTTGTTTTGTTTTGCTTTGTCCTGTTTCTTAAAGCTAAAGGCGACTCGTACTGAGATTCAAAACAGAAACATTGTCTATCCAAACGCATGACCAACCTGTTGCGTATGAATCAGTGGCCAGGCCACTCCTGGCTAGGTGGCCAGCGGCACCGGAAGCGAACTGGACTTCGACTTCGTCAGAGCAAGTGTGGAGGATGTGGAGAATCACGACCGATTTGCTCAATCTCCCTGCCTGTCTGGACTTTGTAATTATTTTTTAGCAGTAATTAAAGAAAAAAAAAGTCCTCTGTGAGGAATATTCTCTATTTTAAATATTTTTAGTATGTACTGTGTATGATTCATTACCATTTGAGGGGATTTATACATATTTTTAGATTAAAAAACTAAATGCTCTTATTTTTCCAACAGCTAAACTACTCTTAGTTGAACAGTGTGCCCTAGCTTTTCTTGCAGAGTATTTTTGTACAGATTTGCTTTCTCTTACAAAAAAAATGAAAAAAAGCAAAGTATGTGATTTTATTAACATAAAAAAAGACAGAAATGTGTTCTGTGATTAGTTTGGGGGGTAAGCTTTGCTTAATTCCTCAGCGCTTCAGACCTTTGAGGAGGAGCTGCCTTAATATGAAAAGCCTTATTTTGCAAATATGGGAGTAAACAGATAGTCTAGAGACACATTTGGTAAGCTTTATCCATATATGTAGAGATATATATTTTAAACAAGAAGAACACACCTTGAGCCTTAAAAAACCGTGCTGCTGGAAAAATACTTGTGCTTTTTTTTTTTTTTTTTTCATGCAAGGCCTCCTGCCTTTGCTTATTGGTTTCAGTCTTAAGGAAGAAGCAAAAGGCAGCAAAGGAGACTGAAATCTGATTGGGGAATGTTTCAGCAGCCACCAAGCAAGTGCCCCAGAGTACTGTCCCCCTGGTTGCCTGCCCAGGCCCCATGTGGACTGCAGATGCTGAAGTCTCTGTGCTCACAGTGCCACCTGTGTCTCTCTGAACACCAGCAGTTAACTTTCCAGACATTCCACGTGGTACAAAAGATTATTTATTTTGTAAGGAGAAGTTTTAATTGAAAAAGAAATCTTCCTCCTTTTTTCTTTTTTTCTTTTTTTAATTTACCTTCTTTAAAATAGGTTGTTGGAACCTTCCTCAGAGGGTATGATCATCTGTTGTTAAATTATGTTCTTAACTGTAACCAGTTTTTTTATTTATCTCTTTAATCTTTTTTATTATGAAAAGCAAGTTTCTTTGAATTCTTCATGTTAGATTTGTACAAATTTCTTTTTGTCTGTCTTTTTTTTCTTTGTTGTTTTTGTTGAAAACAAACTGGAAACTTGTTTCTCTCTCTCTCTCTCTGTCTCTCTCTCTCTGTCTCTCTCTCTCTCTCTCTCTCTCTCTCTCTCTCTCTCTCTCTGTACAAATGAGAGATTTGCAAATGTAGTATATCACTGAGTCATTTGCAGTGTTTTCTGCCACAGACTTTTGGGCTGCCCAAATTCGTGTGTGTGTGTGTGTGTGTGTGTGTGTGTGTGTGTGTACGTATGTGCTGTGACACAAGACAATGTGAGTAGGTGTCATAGGTAACCCTCCGTATGTTCTCAGAGGGCAGGGACACACCAGGACGGAACAGGCCCACTGACAGACCTTAATCCTTCTTTACTGCTGTGGCTGGAGAGTTTGAGGATTGCTTTTTAAAAAAGACAGCAGACTTTTTTTAATTTAAAGAAAGATATATTAACAGTTTTAGAAGTTGGTAGAATAAAATCTTAAAGCACTCTTATGGCATCTTTCAATTTCTGTATAAAAGCGGATCTTTTAAAAAAAAGTATTTCTGTAACTTAAGAAACCTGGCATTTAAATCATATTTTCTTTTTAGGTAAGGTTTGGTTTGTGTTTGTGTTTTGTTTGTTTTGCTTGTTTTCCCTCCAAACCTTTGTTCTCTCTGTGAACTTACCTTTCTTTTCTTTCTTTTTTTGTATATTATTGTTTACAATAAATATACATTGCATTAAAAAGAAAATGGCCCTATGATTTATTTACTGTGAAAAAAGATTTGGGGAGTAGAGTCACAAAAGAGCGGGTTTAATGCTGACTACTGTGACATCTTCATTGAAATAGACCTTGAGGGAAAAAATGTGAATCCCCAAAACTGTAAAAAGTGCCACCCCATAGGTCACCAGTAGGTCATGCAGAGAATGACATGTCCACAGTCGCCCACACTGGCAAAAATGCTTCTGGTTTTAACAACCTCTTGCTTCAGGGCAAAAGCTGTTCCCTCCTAGAGGTCAGAGAGAATAGGAAATCCTGGACCTGGGATCAGCAGCTTGTCAGGAGACAGAATGCCAAAGCGGGTGACTTCTTTGTCTGAATGCCATATGGCAAACTTTGTGGTATTGTGGACACATACCAAAGAAATGGGGTGCCCACTCTGAAGGCAAAGAGATCCAGCCTAGAAGAGGCTCCACGGGGGACCAGAGAGAAACCAGTGGTATTAACCCATGAAATGATTGAGGTTTTTCCTAATTTCTCCACAGAGACAATGAAAGGAAGTTATCTTATTTTTCTGTTGCCTCCAGTTTAACTCATTCTGAGCAAATGCAAAAGCATCCCTTAAGAAATGGGACCTAACCCTGTTTTCCTTGGCCCGGGTTAGATGGGGAGTTTCCAGGTTCAGTGAAACGTTCAGGTCATTTTTCATTAAACAGATGAAATCACTCCTTCCCTCCTACCCCCTTTAGCCTCCACCCCAGGTGGAGGGGGAGGTGTCCCTGAGAAGGTAAGTCACCTCTGCCACCTCAGGTGGGCTTGTCCACTGGGACCACAGGCCTGACAGGCCTCCTGCCAGTACCTCACATTGTCTGTGTCTGCTTATTGGATTCCTGGCATGCATCCCACATGGGGATCCCGGCAACCAGGAAAATGGTAGTTACCAAATTGAGGCCACATTAGTAATCGGCCTCCCTTGCAAATTCCTGCAACAAACATTGATTGAGGGCCTGTGATCCGCAGGGGCCTCTGCAAATCCCTACCCCTTGCAGACATCAGATTCTGTTCCTTGTTTACTCCACGATCTCCAGGTCACTTAGGCCCACAGTTTATGCACCATTCTTCCAAAACCGCCTCTGCTTCTCTCAGTTTCCCCCTTGCCAATTCTTCACTAAGTCTTTTTAAAGTTTTTGTGGTACTCATTAATTCTTGCCCACCTTATTCATCCTAATCTCTATTAAAATCAATACTCGATGTCCCAACTGTGAACATCCCCTTTCAGATCTAAGCTATCTAGCTTGCTAGACTGTTCTCTCTTTTCCTAAGTAGGAAACTCTTTGCAGGCCTTTTTAGAACCAGAATGTTCTATTCTGACATCAACTTGTTAGATGGCGTAAGGCAGGTTACTTTTCTTTGTACCTTAGTTTCTCCCTTTGGCATGTTTAGCATTATTCCTACTTGTAACACAGTGATTAACAGGGTGATTTTTCATCTAGAAATAGCCAAGGAATTAACCACATTTGACTCTTTTGGTATGTACAGCAGTCCCCTTGTAAAATGAGAATTTCCCAGAGTGACACTCAGGACAAAGAGTTCCATGCAAGATCCCAGAGTGGCTCTGATACACTGAAGAATACAGGAGACCCTGGAGTTCAGAGAAAGAATTCCCCAGACTCTCAGCTACTCTTATCCACCAGAACTAGTCAATACTCCATATCACCAGATTAAAAAATATTTCAGAGGAATTTTTATTCTAAAGCCAGAAACATAGAGCTTATCACCGTGGCAACGAGAACACATTGATTAGAAACCTAGCAAAGAATCCTCCAGAACAGAAAAGAGCTTGTATTTAAACCCAAGGTTATTTGTTTATTTGTACTCACAACTTTTCTCTCTCAACTCTTTTCACAAAAGAGAAGCTTTTTTCTTTCCTTCTAAACCAGAAGGAATAAAAACAAACTCATTTGAAATCAGTCTTTTGGTCTATTATGAAAATAGAATCACACGGGCTGATGTGGGCTATGTGCTTAGTATTCTCACTGTAACACGGCCTCATCCTCTCCCAGGCCCTGATTTCCAAAATGAATACCTTAGAGGCACCACTGCAGCGCTGTTTACCCTAAAGTCCTTGAAGTCATGCAGCCAGACATGGACCTGCTAAGATTCCGATAGAGACTGATCTTCAACACTCTTTATGCACAAGTTTAAGGTTCTTTAATCTCATTGTTTTAAAATTCGTGTTCTTTTTCTTAAAAAAGAGTTCCCTCCAAGTAAATTAAAAAAAGAAAATAGTAGAAGCTCCAGGCTCCACAAAACCTGGATTTGCCCATGATCATAGCTATTAGGCAGTAAAACCATGGCATAGGAACCTGCAAACAAGATAGATTTCAATCTGTTCTCAGCAATGCCTCACACACAGTGGGTGCTTAATTAATACCTACCTTGTAACATATCCGTGAACCCACTTCCATTACGACAGCATCCATTGTTGGGACTTTCTAGCATAGCATTCAACCATGTATCCTTACTCAAGTTTCTTATCACTGGGGCTCAAACGGTGTTATCTCATGGGCATAATTAGGGTTAGGTTAGGTAATGCACACAAGATGTTTTGGTGATACACACATACACTACTTTGCTTCACTTTTGTTACTGATTTCTTCTTATCCTTTCTTACACTGCCTCTCTTCTGCATTTACACAGGGTAGGCCATAGACTCTTGCTGCTAAAATGTTTGCTGGGCCCTAAACAGGCTAATTTCTTTTCCATTCCTCACAGATTAGAAAGTACTCTGGATTCCAGTAGGTTAATCCTTTTCTGACAAAATACAACAAAGTCAATCCCCGATTTTTTTGAAACAACAAGACTAAATTTGGGGTGATGCATTCATTATTGACTGGGACACTATTGTCAGGCACATTGCTTAACTTTTCAGGATTTCGTATTAAGTTTAGTCTAGTCCCATTATTCTGTATTGTCATGTTCCACTTTAAGAGAATTTCTACTTCTCATTCTTTCCACAAGCATTTGTTGATCTGCTTTTGTGAATCAGGATCAAACAGCAAGCAAGAGAGGCTACCTTCATGGAGCTTCTATTTCATCATTCGCATCTTCTTATCTCATGCTGTTAAAACACTGCAACTGATAGTTTCATGTGGGAAGCCAGGCACAGGGAAAGGGGAGGTGGTGACTAATTTGTGTGAGAACTTACTGACCTTTTTTTTCCTTCTCATGTTCTTCATCTATTTTTCAGTAACATGGGATTTACTGTGATCCAATTTACATTTACCTCACTCCCTCCTGCCCTTGGCAACAACCCTAGATGGGTCTCTCTACTCTTGAAGAACCATGAATTCATGTACCTCACCTTCCTAATTTTACTAGAGACTACAAAAGAAGGATTTCAGATCTGGTACCTCGAAGGATCTCTTGGGTCTCCAAAGAATTGTTTAAGGCAGACTGCATACTTATGGAATCAGAGATTAGAACGGTGAAATGAGAAGCCCCTCAGCTTGCGTGTGTTGTAATTGCAGAAATACTTTGTAGAACATCTCAGTTATTCAGTACTTTGCCAGCTTTTCTCAAATGCTTGTCCTGATTGGGAGGTCACTTCCGTTCTGCTATCAGGGAGTTTACCGAATCTCTGCATCTTCAACCCAATAGTCTAAAAAGACACAGGACTATACCAGTATGATGTGAAACTTATCTTTCTATCCAAATGAAAGATAGCCCTTCAATTATTTGTACTATTTTCAGGTTTTTGTTTAGCCTTTTTTTCCCCAAGCTAAACATTTCCAATGTCCTTTATACATGCTTCCAAAAGCCCTTTATATCTTGTAATTCTTCTTTGAATGCACCTTACTTACTAATTTTCTCAAAATAGCGCTCCTAAGATTATCTCCAGGACTGTGTATATGGTTGAATAATGGTTGAATAACATGGAATACAAATATATTTGCCATTATTGTAATGAAAATTGTGCTTCTATTTATATAAATTAAAACTGTATTAGCCCTCATAGCAGGTCAAGTCACCTAGTTATGCTGAATAACTTCTCAGAGCCTATAATTGAGTGACTGATTTTTTGAACCCAATTACTAAATTTTACATTTACTCCTGTTTTAACTGCAGTATGACATATACAGGCTCAATGGAAAGAAAAAGAGGAAAAGCAATTTACATCATTGAGCCCTTGCTCTGCCAGGAACTGTGACAGATGTTTTATATACATGATCTCATTTAATCCATTTAGTAACTCCTATAGAAAGGTGTTATTGCAGTTTTATGAAGGCAGAAACTGAGGCTCAGAGATATTAAGCAATTACCCTAAAGGTTGCATAACTAGCAAACAGCTCAAGCAACTACCGAAGACTCTCCTCACCCTTCAGTTTTCAAACAATAATTTGAAATATAGTTCATAACGGGAAAGGAGAATAAATGGAGAAATAAAATGTATATGTTGTGGGTTATATTACAGATATATGTGACCATGTAACGCTCCTTACTCAAAGCCTCCTAACCTATTCACCTGGAATGGAATCCAAATTCTTTACTCTACCATTCAACTGCCCTACTCCAAGTCTTAGCAAATGATAGCCCAAATACCAAATCCAGCCCCAACTGTTACTGCAAATACAGTTTTTTTGGGGTGGAGTTACAGCCACATTGTCCCTGCACATTCCTGCTATGAAGCAGAAGTGGCTATACGGGAGATGTTTTCCAGATGACTCTCTACAAAAATACTTTTCTGACCCAGCCCTATGCAACCTGGCCTTTGCCTATTCCTCTGACCTCTACTTCTCTCCCTACTACATGTACCCAACCCTGACTTTCATGCTGATTCTCAAACCCAAGCTCTTTGCTACTTCTGCACCTTTGCACTTATTGCTTTCTTGACCTAAGCACCTTTTTATTAAAATCGCCCTGTCATATCCTTTATTTAGATTCATATTTCAGATCTCAGTTCAAATGTCAGTTGCTCCCACAGCCTTTAACTGAGGGTAGGAGATACAGTGGTCCATTCTGCCATCACAC